TTGGAAGGAGCTAAAGCTATGGAGAAAAGTGAATGAGTAACACGGGGGCAGGGGGACATACAATGTGGGAACAGTTTCAAATAGGATGGTCAAGAAAAACCCCAATAAGAAAGAATGTGACAGGATGTTCACACAAACAAGACATCAGTCTCATGATTCAAATCACACAGAAAACTGGAGGGAAAAACTGAAAACTAATTTTCACTGTGTTTCTGCCACCTATCTATTACCCCAAAGTACAAAAGAAGTGGATGACCACATACACCATTTCTAAACTTGAACCATGCGAGCTCACAACCCTATTTTCCTAAAGAAAAGTTAAGTCACCACTGGTCCTGCTTTTGCCTCCTGAAATGCCCATGTGTTGCCGGAAAGCAGCATCTGTCTAAACCCCCCTGCTTTTGACGACTATGACTTCTTTGATAAACTACCCGTGTGTGTGTGGAGGGACAGAAAGATGGAGGAAGCAAATGGGGAAATGAGTTTTCCCCTCTCCAGATTAATGTATATGAAGTATACATCTGACACTTCATCAGCACTCCCGGCTGGTGTCCCAGCAGGCGGACACTGGCTGAGCATGTATTCTGCCAGCAACCAGGCTACTTAGGATGAATTGGCAACATGTCATTTATCTGAAATGCCCCAAATGTCTGGGAGAGGGAGCACAGCTACATTTAGCATCGCCAAGGAAAACTAGATACTTTGGGCTAGGAATTAATCTCCTTTTTGAGAAGGTAGTTAGCATTACCTTCAAGCTTGCCTATGGCATTTAAATCACTATAGGTCATGCATTTACTAAAATTCATACCGACCAAACCATGGGGCCTTCATTTATATCTTACTAACCTATGAATACCTGCCAGCCACGGGGCCTTCATTTATATCTTATTAACATACGAATCCCTCTCAGGTCTCTACTTTTCTGAAATATATGTTGTGCTGAACACGAAATTCTGTTATATCAACTTGTAATGCCGTTATTTGGACATAAGCCACTTTGATCCCTATTTTTCCCATTTTTACACACTTGAACACACACTTTGCTTCGACTCACTTTTTCAGTGAATCAACAACATATTTAAGCCAATCTGCTACATGACTGTTTACAGGCAGATTAATAAAGTCTCCTTGAATATGGACACTGTAATCTCTACATAATTTTGTCAGCCTAATTTTTGAGCGGCTGATGTAGAACTAAGTGGGTTTGGCCCATTACATGGACTTTAAGGCTAATCACAATTGTAAGATGCCGTGAACAACAAAACCAAAGAGGTTTTAGATGGATGATCTTATTAGGCCACCCATTACAGCAGAGAGAATCGCACCATCACTCTCGCCTTGCAAGTAAAGGAATCTGTCACTTCCTAGGAATAATTATTTGTCCCATCGGCATTATTTATTGAATGCCTCCTATACGCAAGGCTTTGTGCTAGGAGCAGTGAGGAGCAGAAAGCCAACCAGACAGGAATTCTGCCCTGAAGGAGCTTGCAGTCTAGCAGGGGGATGTTAGGCGTAAACACAAAGAATTAAAACCAAGGTGCACCATGATACAGGCCAAGGAGAGTCAGGAGGAGAAGGCTGGCTTACAGCTCTAAGACGGGGGCTGGGGGTGAGAGCCGTGGCCAGGAGAGGGTCCAAGAGAATCATGTTCTATTGTACACAGCACCTCCCAAAACATCAGCTTGTTTAGAAAATGAAGAAAGAAACAAGGAGGAGGAAGAAGAGAGAAAAGGCCAGTCAGAGAAAGACAAGTATCATATGATTTCACTTATAGGTGGAATCTAATGAACAAAATAAACTAACAAACAAAACAGACTCATAGACATCAGAGGACTGACAGCTGTCATAGGTGAGTGGGTTGGGGGCTGGATGAAAAAGGTGAAGGAAAAACAGAACTCATAGACACAGACATCAGTAGGGTGATTAGCAGAGGGAAAGGGGATAGAAGAGGGTAAAGGGGAGAGAAGTGGTGATGGAAGGAGACTTGACTTGGGCTGGTGAACACACAATACAATATACAGATGAACTATTATATAATTCTATACCTGAAACCTATATAATTTTATTAAACAACTAAAAGCCCAATGCATGAAATTCATGCAAGGGTAGGCCCTCGCAGCCCGGGCTTCATCCGGAAGGTTGTCCGGACGGTCATTCGGCTGTTCAGTCTAATTAGCATATTGCATATTACACTTTCATAATTATAGATAATGTGTCCTTTTCTTGCCTCTTTCAATTAACAAAACAAGATTCAAATTAGTAAAAAGTTTACAAGTCAGCTCTTCTGTTCACTGAGTGAGACACCTACAAGATACTTTAAAGTTTGAACTAGATGTCTGTCTGTATCCAAAATCACTACCAGCTCTGAGATTCTACTATGTTGAGTTTGCCTGAGAAGAGGAAAACTTTCCTGAGAATCCACTTGGAGGGAGGTAACCAGGGCCGTGTCTCCACATGGGCTTGATTATCAAAATCTGAGTAAATTTCATAAAATCGTAGTACCTGTAAAAAATTAGGCAGATAAATGCCAGTGGTCAATTTTAGAACTACAAACATTTGGCATCATAAGTAATCTGCACTTAGGTGCCATCTGTCAATAAAGAGTGAACTACTAGCATCTAATAGTGACACTGCAGGAGGAGCGCAATAGCACTCCCGTCATTTTTGGCGAAAGACAGGAGGAGCTCGATCGCGCTCCCTGGTACTCTAGGGGTTAACTAATAACACTTCTGCAAAGGGTACATAGGGTGACACACTGAAATAAATGATATGGCATAGACACCTCGACCAGTTCAAGCAGAACAACGAGGGGATCAGGAGGGTCTCAGCCCGGCAGCCCTCCTCCATCTGCTGCTGCTCTCAGGTTGGGGGACAGAGACTTGGTCAAACAGCTCACAAATAGTTTTCCTATTTGTGAATAGGAAACTTCTGAATGAGACATACTGTATATACCAGTATATATCTTACTTTTAACAGTGTTGCTTTAGTCAGAATGATTTTCTTGGCAACAAACATACAAGATTACTATTTAAGTGTTAAGAATAACATTGCATTGACCCCCAAAAACACTTTTTTTAAAAAAAATCACTAGTTGTGAGAAATGTCCCTTAAAAAGTAAATACTTACAGTAAAATAAGCTTTTGATAAAATTCCCCAAGAAGAAAAAGTAACTTTGAACTTGGGGATGAGATGGAGGAAAATGTGATCATCACTTTAAGTGCACATTTAAAATAAGTCCCAAATTTTTCATAAAAGGAAGACAGTAAACTTTGGCTTAAAGATCATAGTCAGTTTTGAAATCATAATATATCCTGAAAGAAACTTTTTATGGATAATTATTCAACACCATTCAGAATCTTTATTATTTGAAAAGTAGATTCGGGAATTTCAAAGTTGAATTCCAGAGACTGTTTATGCCTCTTTTCATCTTGCAGTTGCAGATGAGATGAAAAAGTCTGAGAAACTAAGTGACTTGCTCAAGTGTACACACTATCTAATGGCAAAATCAGGACCTAACTCACATCTCTCTGCATTATTGAATGATTCCCATATATCCAAAATAACCTATTGTCAATACATCAAGTTAAAAGGCATCATAATGCACCAACTTACATATTATTTGCATCATCAGTAAAATATGTTTAAAAATCTATTCCCATACAATACAACCCCTACCACCAATGCAAAAATAACTTGTAAACACTCCTAGGCCAAAGGTTAAAGTAGAAAAGTAATGAGCCCACTAGAACACAAAATTCTAGGAAGGATCATGGTTAAAAATAAAAGTGTACATTGAAAAAAATAAAAGGAATGTGGGAGTCCATGCTGCCAAAAAATACGCAAATATTTGTATCATGTGCCAACTGGTAAATGTGGAGAAAGTGCTAGAGTTGGAATAATGACCACTTTCAATTATCACAGAAAAGAAGGGGCCTGGCAAGAACCACCATGTTCTGGAAATCTAGGGGGAATTTTTGATGAGGAGAAACATGTTTGCATGGCCTGAAAGTATGTCCCCACAGAATGCTTATTGAATACAAGAGCAAAAGTCTAACTACAGTAGAGACATCTGGCAAAACCCTGACTAGGGGGAAAAATTAACTTCACAATGAGGGACAGATAGACATATGTGTCTGCAGATGGCAGACCCAATGTGATATTCTAGATTGGGATGCAAAGACATAAATCTCACCATGAGGAAATATCAAACATATAAGCAACATGTAATATGGGAAATATTCCATTAAAACACATGGGTGGGAGTATATAGTCCTCAAAGATCTTGATGTCAAAGTGGTAAATAAAGGCTCTGGAAATAATTCCAGATTAAAGGGAACTAAGTAGATATGACAAATTCAATGCATGACTCTGAACTGGATCCTGTTCTGGGGGTGGGAAAATGTTATAGAGGACATTACTGAGCCAATTGATAAAACTGAAATGCAGATGGGAGAGTAGATAAAGGGCTTTTATCAGCCATAAATTTACTGAAGTTGAAAACTGTGATAACAAAAGGCTATAATATATTCAAGCTACTCCCAAACAGTTTAAAAACGTATGTGTGCATGTACACACTTATGTATATTCCTGTGTCTATTTAGAGGGAGAAAAAGCAAATGATAAAGCAAGTTGGGCAAGAGGTTAATAGTTGAATCTAGTAAAGGACCAGTTGGTGTTCTATTATTTTTCTTACTCTTGCCACGTCTCTGTTACTTTGAAATTGTTTTAAAGCTTAGAATCATCTTCCTTTCTTTTGAGGGAAGAGTGGAGACAGAGAAAAATTGAAAGAAATACTCCAAATTAGGTTGGGGGGTTTGGGGGTTCGCGCTTGGAAAAATGAGCACACTGAAAGCAAGGTATTTCACATTGCCAAATCTGTGCTCAATGTTAAATGTAGGTTCAAATCTAGTTAAAGTCAATAAACTTAAAATAGTCCCTAGCAAGGTGGCAAGACAGGTAAAACCCAACCCACCACAGACAGAGCCCAGAGACACACTTACCAGACTGGCCGTGAGCGAGGGCGCCGACTGGCCCAAGGCCTGGCTGCGCATGCGCACGAGGTTGGACGTCTCCGCAGATGCTGACCAGGTCTGTCCTGTGGTGGGGTTAGGAAGGAGGTACCTTCCTGTCGGGGTTAAAGAGAAGACAAGGTAAGTGACAGGCAGAACAGCAACACCTCCATGGCAACAGTAGATCTCTTCTTGACCATCTTTCTATATAATGCTTGCCAATAATTACATTTACCAAAAAGCAACCGGAGGCAAATTGTTTTAATTAAGACAAGTTCCGACCCTGATTTCCCACATAAACCCGAGTACCTCTTCATCCCCAGCATCTGTAGCTTTCAGCCAAGGCAGAATGAAGTACCTTGTTACTGCTGCCTATTCCACCAAATGTGCTGAGGATGAGTATAATACACAAAGCATTCCTAGCATCTTAGAAATAAGCTTATGCAGTTATAACTGTACTTTTTAAAATGTCTAATATGGAAAGTGATTGAGGATTCATCTGGAAAAGAGTCCTCAAAGTGGAGATCATGACCAACAAAAGGAAGAGTTGGAATTCTTTCAAAGTGAAATGGGGCTGGTGCTTCTCTCTCTGAAGCACTGGTTGGTCATTCAACCATGTCCACAGGACACATAATTGTATCCATTTGCATAAATCAGGACATCAATGTCAGTTGAGCTTCACTGAGCAACTCACATCAACCTTGAACTCTAATATATATGTATGCCTTTGAAAGTCAAACAGTTGAACCAATTCACACTGTATTAATTTCTTAGTGCAGGGACAGGGCCAGTTATCAATGCACAAGAAATAAGGCTTTTTGACTTCAGGAAGTTGGGATGAAGTTGAGTATTCACATAGTAATGAAGCTCAGTAAAAGCAGAGGCCATGTTTGATTTTTATCTGCTTTGTCCCAATACTAGCACAATGACTGGCCGTAGACAGTGCTCATTAAATATTTCTTGGATGATGAAAGAACAAGTGGGCACTTCTTTCCCATAAAACACATAGGGACAATAAGATGGCAGGCAGTGGTGTTTCATCCAAGGGCTGTGTCTGTGGGGACTGCAGCTTCATACCACTCAGATTCAGGAGGGACTGCAGCCACATGTGTGGCTGGTGGTCCTGAAGCAGAGGTGACATTTGTTCCTTGGATTCTCCCCCAACAGATCTGTTCCTTGTAAAAGAGGCTCACTCCCGTACCTGTGGCATATACTTCACAAGCATGTCCCACTGGTTAATAAATATTGCAATATATTAGCTAGTTAGCTATTAGTATCCATTCTAACTACTAGCAATATCAAAGTATAGGAGCTAGGGGCAGCTCCCACAATTGTCCATGTAGAGGTCTAATCTATATATATAAAAGCCTAAGCGACCGTCACAACCAAAACAACCGAACAGATGACCAAACAGGCTGCATGGGGCGACCAGGCCAGAGGGGACTTAGTGAGGGACGACCAAATGACTGAGCAGCAGGCTGAGTGGGGCGACCAGGCCAGCAGGGGGCTTAGTGAGGGATGACCAAACGACTGAGCAGCATGCGGTGTGGGGTGACCAGGCTGGCAGGGGGGAGGTTGGGGGTGACCAAAACGACTGAAGAGCAGACTGCATGTGGCGACCAGGTCGGCAGGGGGGCATTTGGGAGCTACCAGGCCAGTGTAGGGGGGGAGCAGTTGGGAGCGACCAGGATGGCAGGTGGGGCAGTTAGGGGTGACCAGGCCAGCAGGGAGGGCAGTTGGGGGCAACCACACCAGCAGGGGGGTGCTGTTGGGGGCAACCAGGTCAGCAGGGGGTGACCAGGCAGACAGGGGGTAGTTAAGGGTGACCAGGCCAGAAGAGGGGGCAGCTGGGGGCAACTAGGCCAGCAGGCAGAGGTGGTTAGGGGTGATCAGACTGGCAGGGGGGGCAGATAGGGGGCGATCAGGCGGGCAGGCAGGTGAGCAGTTAGGAGCCAGCAGTCCTGGATTGTGAGAGGGATGTCCAACTGCTGGTTTAGGCCCAATTGGGATCGGGCCTAAACCG